TTTTTTAAAAATTAAAATTCAAACTGAAATGAAATTTTCATCTGTGCGTGTCTCTCTTTAAAAAATATATTTATAAAAAATCGTAAATACTCTCAAAAATTATCTATTCTTATTAAAAAAAAAAAATTAAAAAAAAAATAAAATAAAAATTTTATTAAAAAAATAAAAAAAGAGAAAATTTTTTAAAAATAAAAAAAAAAAAAAAAAAAGATAGAAATCGACTTAAATATTATTTTTTTAATAATTTTATCTTAAAAATATTATTTACTTATTTGTTTTTAATTTATCTTTTTGTTTGATGTGGTTTTTACGAAAAAAACTTAATTTTTATTTTTTTAATAATTTGAATTTTTTATTTTTATTTTTAATTTTAATTTTAAATTTAATTTTTAATTTTAATTTTTAATTTTAAAATTTTAAAATTTTAAAATTTTTTCTTTAAACACTTCTCATTTAGAAACTATTAATACACTAACAGGAAAAAGGTTATATAGTGTACAGTATAAATATATAAAAAATTATTTTCTTTCAAACTAAAATGCCTAAATAAATTTTAATTTATTTTTTTTTTATTTTTTTTTTATTTTCTTTTTTTTTTTTTCGGTAATATTTTTTTCTTTTTTTTAAAATTTTTTTTTTTTTTTTTTCTTTTTGTTGTTAAATCAACCACCAACATTCGTTTGTTGTATTTTTTATTTGTATTCTATTATTTCTATTAAAATTATCTAATATAAAGCTATTTAATAGGTTTTTCATTTTTTTTTTTTCACGATAATTATCAATCAATTTTAAATATTTATTATAAAATGTCATATTCAACAACCGAAATTCACCCAAATGTCAAAAGAGTTATCTTTACCGAAGCAGAAATTAAAGACAGAGTTGCTCAATTAGGTAGACAAATTACAAATGTAGGTTTTTAATATAAATATTTAATTTAAAATAAAAACTCAATCACAAAAAGATTTTTATGCAAAACGAAAAAAAATAAAAATAAAAAAAAAAAAAAAATAAAAATTTTGAAATAAAAATATTAATAATTATTATTTTTTATTTCATTCAAAATAGGATTATAAAGATAGTAAAGAATTAGTTTTAGTTGGTATCTTAAAAGGATCATTCGTATTTATGTCAGATTTGGTTCGTTCAATTTATTTACCAAATACCAATGTTACATTAGAATTTATGTCAATTTCATCATACGGTGCCGCTACCTCAACCAGTGGTGTCATTCGTATTATGATGGATTTAAGAACCAATATCGAAGGTAAAGATGTCTTAATTATCGAAGATATTGTCGACTCTGGTTTAACTTTAAATCATCTTATGGATTTATTAAACCACCGTAAACCAAATTCACTCAATACTGCCGTTCTTCTCCGTAAAAAAGAAGGTCTCAAAGTTGATGTCCCAGTTAAATATATTGGTTTCGATATTCCAATGGTTTTCATTATTGGTTATGGTTTAGATTTTGCAGAAAATTATAGAGAGCTTCCATATTTGGGTGAATTAAAAGAAGAATGTTACAAAAATTAATAGTTTTTGTTTCCATCTTAAAAAAAAAAATAAAATAAAAAATAAATAATAAAACAATTTTTTTTTTTTTTAAAAACTTTTTTTAATCAACTGGTTTCGAAATGCAATGTTTCTTTAATCCCTTCTCTGCATTTAACAATTTTTTTTTTATATTTTTTATTTTTATTTTATTTATTTTTTTGTAAAATCATCTTAGAAAAAAAAGTTTATATCATTCCAAAGAGAATTTAATAAAATTTTCAAATCATATTATACATAAGATATATGATTTTATTTATAATTATTTGTTATATAACGATGAACATGAAATATAAATTAAAAAAAAATTATATAAAAATTAAAAAAAAAAAAAAAAAAAAAAAAATAAGAAAAGACTATGTTTTGTTTGTAATATCTTAATTTAATATATTTTATCAATTCTATGAATATTATAGTGCATAGCACATATTTATATATGACTGAGCTTAAAAAAGACATTAGATGTTTACTATTTCCACAGATTATTACTGTGTCATTTTTTAATTAGAAATAGTATACGAAATTATTTTCAACTCCATCAGACCTATCGAAAATATTTTCAGCATTAGGATACTTAAATAAAATATAATAAATTTTATTTTTTATTATTTTTTACCACTTTCTTTTTTATTAAATATAGTTCTTCATGATATAATTTAGTATCTTATTTGTTTAGAATTGATAAAATAAAAAAAAAAAAAAAATTTTAAAATTAAAAAACGAGATAAATATTACCTCGGGCACGGTAAACCATTCTTCTTTAATTTTTTCATCATCGACATATCCATTACAAAGCCCAATTAATCTTGATCTCTGGACATCGCTGTACAATCCTTTGAGAATATCAATTTCTTCCACTGCAACACATACATAGTATGGTTTATTCTTTTCGGCACTCGATGAATCAATGTCATTTCTAAGAGTATGTATTCCAGAAATGATTTCATTCTCATAGAAACAATTAGGTTCTCTAGTGAAACGTGCAATTGATGATTCTGAAGGACTGGGGATACCAGCATAACCAGAACGAAGGTGTTTTGCACTAGCTAAAAGGCCAAATATCTTTGATCCACAATGATTTTTGAGTGTTGCAAGAAAACTGAGCAATGATTCGGACCAATCACCCTTTCCAGTGAGCAATGTTTTTATTTGATCGGTCAAGAAGGTATAAACTGAAGTTAAAAAAATACACAGGTGTTACAAATACGTATAACCACTCATTAAAAGTATGTGATTTATTTACTTCAGTGAAGAAATCACATACTTTTAATGAGTGGTTATATGTATTTGTAACAGCTGATTTTAACTTGTTTATTGCATCACCCAAAGAATTATTAAAATCAACTCTTTCTTTGTTTAAAGCTTCAGTAAGAAATCCCAAACTCAAATGCGAAACAATTATATCTGTAAAAGAAATAAATTATATGTGAAAGTTTCACGTGAGTGTGATCTTAGTTAAACATTTAAATGATAGAACAAACTATTAACCGAAATAAAAAATAATGATTATGTAATATTATTTGTGGACATAATAATTTTTTATAATTTAAAAAAAAATTTCAAAAAATTTTTTTTTTTTTTTTTTTATTTAATTTTTTTTTTCGTAAAAAATTTAAATTATTTTTATTTTTTTTAATTTCATTATTCAATTAAACGAAAATACATATATTATAGATAAAGATGGATGATATCGATGTTAAAATTCTTGAGATGAAAATGATCTCAAAAATGTTCACTGGGTACGATTAATAATAATAAATAGGATACATATAATAATAGAAATAGTACAATAATAATAATAGTAATAGTAATAGTAATAGTTATTATTAATAGTAATAGAAATTGTACAATAATAATAATAATATGTTAACAATAATATGATATTAATACTTTATATGTTAAATACAGTATTTCAGAAGCCTGTTCAGCCAAATGTATCAGTAAATACAGCGAAGGTGAATTAAATGTCGGCGAAGCAGTTTGCGCTGAAAGATGTGCCCAAAAATGGATGGATACTTTCAAAAACGTTCAATCAAAGATTAACCCACAAAACGCTGTTCCAGCTACCCCAGCCGAACCAGCTGAACAAAAGAAAAGCTCATGGTTCTAAATAAAATTTCTAAATATATACAAAAAAACTCTTTTTAAATAAAAAAAAAAATATAAAAAAAATTAAAATATTATAAAAAAAGAAATTAAACATATATTATATAAACTATTTTAATATGGAAATATTATAACTTGAACTTTATTTTAATTTTAATTTATTTTTTTTTTATTATTTTTTTTTTTTAATTTTTTTTAATTTTTTTTAAATTAATTCACACCCACACAACTTTTAAATTTATTGTTATATTTTTTTAATCATCGAAACACAGTTATTATTATTATTATTTATTATTTGTTATACATATAGATATATAGAAAAAAATGATTAGAAATTGTTCACATGCAGGAACATGGTATTTTGATAATGCATCAAGATTAGAAAAACAATTATCAGATTGGTTAAAGGTTGCAAAACGTTTAAATAGTAATGTTAAATCAGTTATAGCACCGTATGTTTTAAATACCACATTTATTATTCTATTATAGTTTTTTATATTTATAAAATATTTTATTAAAATAGACATGCAGGTTATACATATAGTGGAAGAACAGCATCACATGCTTATATTAATTTAGTCCCAGAAAAATTGTAAGTATTATATTTTTAAAAAAAAGAAATTATAGTTTATTGCCTCTAATAATAAAATATTATTATAGCAAGAGAGTATTTATTTTAGGGCCATCACATCATGTTTACATGAAAACTTGTGGACTTACAAAATTGGATACTTGGGAAACTCCAATTGGCAATTTAAAAGTCGATAGAGAGATATCAGACACCCTTTACAACACTGGAGATTTTGTTTGGAATAGTAAATCTGTTGATGAAGATGAACACAGTTTAGAAATGCAATTACCATATATCGCTAAAGTTGCTGAAAAGTAAATTTCATAATAATAATGAACCATCTTAAATTAATACTAACTCGGTTATTTAGTAAATTATCAGATTTAAAAATCGTTCCAATTATGGTTGGTAATTTATCATTAAATTTAGAAGAAAAGTATGGTAAAATTTTAGCACCTTATTTTGATGATCCAGATAACTTTTTTGTAATTTCATCAGATTTCTGCCATTGGGGAGAACGTTTTGGTTATACAAAATATGAAAATCAACAAGTACCAATTTACCAATACATCGAGGAATTAGATAAACAAGCAATGTCAATCATTGAAACTGGTGACCCAGTACAATTTGATAAATATTTAAAGATACTAAAAATACATTTGTGGTCGTTGCCCAATCGGTGTTATGCTATGGATTGCTAAGTTTAGTAAATTTAGATATGACATCTCATCAGTCCATTATGAACAATCAAGTAAAGTTGTCCAACCAAGAGATAGTAGTGTTTCATATGCCGTTTTAGCTTTTACAAAACTTGATTAGAAAAAAAAAAATCTTTTTATCTTTATTTTCCATAAAATTAAAAAGAAAAAGAAAAAAAAAAAAAAAATAAAGGCAATATTGCTGTTTTCAGTTTTATTTTTAATTTTTTTTTCAAAATAAAATGTAAATATTTTAATCACCAAATAAACAAAAATTTTATTTTTAGATTTGTTCTTTTCCAAAGATTAAAAACAATTTTATATAAATGGTTAACCATTATTTTATTTTTTTATTAAATATTTATTTATTTTTTTTTTTATTTATTTTTTAAAATTTTAAAAATATTTTTTTAAATTTTTAAAAATATTTTTTTTTAATTAATTTTTTTATTTTTTTATTTTTCTATTAGAAGGAAAATTCTTTTTTTTTATTTTTTTATTTTTTTTTAATAACCAATTTATATATATATATTTTTTTAATTGTATTTTTGTTTATATATATAAATAATAAATAAATGATAAATATGACAGAAACAAAACAATTAAAATTAATTTTAGTAGGTAATATGAGGTATGTATTCGATAAAAAAAAAACGGTTAAAATCCTGGTTAAAAAATTTAAAAAATTTAAAAAAACTCGTTCACTTTAATCAAAATTAAATTAATAAATTAACAAATAATTAACTTTGTTTTTTTTTTTAATCATCAAGTGTGGGGAAAACATCAATATTGCACAGACTAGTTTTTAATAAGTTTTCAGAAGAATATAGAAGTACTTTAGGAACAGATTTTTTATCAAAGACAATTTATCAGAACGAAATTATAACACATATACAGCTTGTAAGTTTAATAATATTATTAAAAAAAGATCAATAGGATATTATAGTTACCACACCACACACGGAAATATTTTTTAAAAAAAAAACTAATTTATTTTAATTTATAGTGGGACACAGCAGGACAAGAAAAATTTTGGTGCCTTACAGAAGTATTTTGGAGAACATCAGATGCAGTTATTTTAGTTTTTGATATAACAAATGAACAGTCATTTAAAGATTTAAATTTTTGGTATAAGCAGTTTAAATCAAAGAGCGGGGTAAATC